TATCATCAACCTGCAAATGTTCCTTTAAAGCAAACGCATAAATGTATTTGAATAACCAAGAAAAATAACATGTTTTTACGCATTAATTTAGGTTGGTTTTAATTTAGTAAAGCTTTAACCCAGACCAAGTGAAGACAGTAATATCGACATATGTAAGCTACAGTCAACCCTCCTACAATGCGGTTTCGCTACAACGCGGTTCGTAAAATGCGCGAAATTTCCTATTACGCGGTACTCCTACAAAGCGATTTTCAAGAATTTTTTAAAAAAATATTCTAAAAAACTTTAATTTTGCGTTATACGTTTATTTAACAAATTTTGAGATCTAGCCTCTTTGATTTTTACACTAAATGTTTGAATTTTACAAGAAAGATCGCATGTCTGCATGTGTATCGTCTCTTTACAGCTTGGCTAGAATTTAATTGACGGGAAAGTTACAAAGCAATTTTTTTCAAAAATTTACACACATATTAATTTAAAAAAAAAAAAGGGTTTTCCCGAAAATTAAATTTTGAAAGAGTTTTTAGACATTTAGATTTGTCTCGTCATTGACAGTAAAGAAGTCGTAAGAATCACATCACCAAGTTTTAAAACATTTGTGAAACAATTTTTTAAATTATATTTTATTAAAGAGTTTCCATAGAAATATTTCAAGGACTTTAAAGATAGAGTGATTTATATGCTTGTATTTTTTGTCTTAAAAGTTTATTTTGTGAAAATTAAGGTAAATACATTTCATAATCAGTTTCTTTTAAATTTTTTATAGCTTAAAATAATCAAAATTTTATTTAAGCACGAAAAATGCCAAAAGAAAAGGAAGGTACGTCGTGAAAATGAAAATTTATTACTGTTGAAACCCACGTCATTTGGAAAGTCATTTTGGAACGACTTGAAAATGAAAACAGGGTAGCTGGTATTGCCAGACATTTTAAATTAAATGAATCAACAATAAGAACAATAAAACAACACAAAGAGAAAATTAGATGTTCAGTATCGTCTGGATCATCGGTACCTGCAAAAATCGTTTCTCGTCCAAGGACAAAAGTAATGGAAAAAATGGGACAATCATTAATGGTGTGGATAGAAGATATGACGACAAAGCGATTGCCCTTAGATGGAAATGTAGTTAAGTAGAATGCATTAAAAATATTCAACTATTTGGAGGAAACAGGACAACCATCAATTCGTGGCAAGCAAAGGATGGTTCGAAAAGTTCGAAAAACGACATTCATTACACAATTTGAAAATACAGGGTGAAAGAGCGTTCGCAGATGCTGAGGCAGCGACGAAGTAGCCGTTCTTCTGAGGAGAATTTTAAGAGATTTTTCTTTTTTTCAAATCCATAAATGTAAACTAAAATTGTATAACTGCAAAAAGGCTCACTTCATTTTAGGAAAACATAATTTTATTTTATTGATTTCTTCTTAAAGTGAGGAAGGAATGAATGAAGAACTTATCAACTTTTTTCTTTTTCTCTTCGTTTGTTTGACTTAGCTTTGTTTGTTAATAATTTTCTCTGAGTTAAATTTGTTCGTTGATGAAAAATTTTTGTATAGAAATAATTTGAAGTAGGTTGGAAAGAAGTTAGGATTTTTCCCATGGGGAAATATTTCTTTGCTTGAGTTATGCCCTCGGTGTGTACTTGGTAGCGGAAGGTACGAAATAAGATCAATGCTAATGAATATTACCAAAAAATTTATATAAATGTACTTACTCGTACTTTCAATTTATGATTTTTCACTTTTTAAACTTTTTATATTTTCAACAAGCGCAATTTTGTGGTTATTGAATATAAACCGTTAGGTGGTCATTTTTCTATATGAAAAAAAAAAAATTCATGCGCGGAGAATGGAGAAATCTCAGAGTTGCTTGGAATAAGTATGAACAATGTTGAAAATAAAAATGTTTAAAATAAAAAATTTAATAAAATATGATAAGAAATGTTTTAAATCCTGCGCGAAAAATGAGCAGCAATTACATTCGATGACTTCTTGCGATAGTTCTTACAATATATTCTTACAATATATACAGTACATACAAAATATGTCAATATATGCAATATATGTCAATATATATGCCAATGTATATACAACTAAGTAAACAATTTTTTTTTTAAATTTTAAATCTTTTATTCACTTATTGATAAGTTCCCATTTCTTTTTTTAAATTATCAATCCTCTTGGAGAATTTGGAAATTCAATTGTGCAAGAATTAAAACTCAAATTATTAAATTTGAAAAATGGATGAAACCATAGAATCTAGTCCCCAAAGTTCCCAAAAATCTGTCTATCAGAAGCGAACGCAAAGGAAACATAAATTGCAGAAAGAAGAAAGTTGCTTACACGGCCCGAATGATTGTGATATCATTAAAACATTGGTAATTCAAAAAGAAAAAAAGAAGAGTCGATACGAAGATGAAATAATGTACTTAGCGGATTCCCGGTCTTATGTGCAAACATCAATAGCCAATTTTGACAATTTTACAGCCTCGCAAAAATTTAAGTCGTGTTTTTTTTATTTTATTTTATTTATTCCACTTATACTAGAAACTCAACTAAACAAATAACAGTCGAGTTCAATTGGCTCTTAATGCAAAACTTATATTAATTAACAATAAAATTGAGTATAAGCATAATAAAACAAATAAGAAGAAAAAAAAAGAAAAAGAAAAAAGAAAAAAAAGCATGTACACTATCAGCATAGGAGCACACTTACAACCGGTACAGGACCAAATTGCAAATGAACCCCTAAGCCATCGCAAACATGCATAAGCCTGGCAACCGCTAATAAATTGACAATAATTCACTTTCGAAACGTAACGACTTTTTAAGGATAAAAGCTAGTTTAAATACGACATAGGTAAATCGCGCGTATTGAGCAATAAGCAATGCTTTAATGGACTTTAAAGAGTCCGATAACGAGAATAAGTGGTAGACGTCATTTACGTTCTTGCAAACGACTCTGAGCGGATTGAACAGCTCATAATTAAATTTACACTGATTAAGCTTAACCAAGATAAAGTGCCTCGAGAAGCGGTTAGGGACATTAAAGCTTATTTCACCAAGTAATGAAGGCGAGTCAATAGCACCATTTATTACTTTAATTAGAAAGGAAACGCCAAGAACAAATCTACGTTTCTCAAGAGACGGTAGGGACAGCAGAAGTAACCTATTTTCATACGGACGAAGAGAGGCAATCGGATCCCAACCCAAATTTCTAAGGGCAAACAGCAAGAATTGCTTTTGAACAGATTCAATTGAATCTACGTTGCACTTATATGAAGGAGACCACTCAACTGAGGCATACTCGAGTATGGGTCTAACCAAACACATGTACAGCCTTTTCGTAATGTAGGGATCATCAAGCTCCTTGGACCACCTTTTTATAAAACCAAGCGCGGACCTAGCTTTGCTAATCGAGAGCTCAATATGCAAGTTAAAACGTAACCTATGGTCAAATAGAACGCCTAAATCTGTAATCGAATCGACTTCCTCCAACTTATGCGAATCTATGAAATACTGAGTAATGAATGACTTTCTTCTTGAGAATGAAAGCTTCTTACATTTACTCAGATTTAGTTTCAGGAGATTCAAAGAGCACCATGCAACAAAATTATCCAAATCACCTTGAAGCTGATGTGATTGCGATTCAACAGAGAAGGAAGAAAACAGTTTCACATCATCAGCATACATTAAGATCTGGCTGGAATTAACCACCGATGGGAGATCGTTAATGTATAAACTAAATAAAATGGGACCCAAGTGACTTCCTTGAGGTACGCCAGACGTAACGGGGAATTCATCCGAGCTAATGAAGTTAAGCAAAACTCTGAAGGATCTATTGTGCAGATAAGAGCTTATCCATTTCACTAAGTAGGGTGGGAAACCAGAGGCTTGGAGTTTAAAGATAAGTAGTCTATGGTTAACCATATCAAATGCTTTGCTTAAATCAGTGTAAATAACATCTGTGCCAGAGCCGCTAGAAAAAGCCTTGAAAACATGACAGGTAAACTCTAACAAGTTGGTGACTGTAGATCGCCCTTTACAAAAGCCGTGCTGGTGCGGAGAAATATACAAATTAATGGCAAAGGCCAAATGCTGAGTCACAATACGATCGAACAACTTGGGCAAGACACTCAACTTGGCTATGCCTCTGTAGTTCTCAACAAATTGTCTACTTCCACTCTTGTGGATAGGAATAAGGAAACTACTCTTCCAACATGAAGGGAAAATACCTAAATACAAGGACATGTTAAAAATCTTTGAGATCACACCACATAACTCGACAGCGCAAGATATAAGTACACATGATGGAATTCCATCAGGTCCAGGCGAACAACTGTATTTTAGAGAACTCAACCCTTTTAAAACATCATCTTCCGAAATAACCAAGTTAGGTATTGAAACCGAGTTAGTTATAGGAAATGAGTAGTTTGCTGATAAATCGAAATTAGCAATCGAAAAGTTTCGGAGGGAGTACTCAGCGAACAGATTTGCGATTTTAAAATCATCCGAGGAAACAGACCTAGTAAAAGAAACTTGAGAGGGATATGTGGAAAATTTCCTTTTAGAGTTAACAAATTTAAAAACGTATTTAGGATTAGCAAACAGAGAGGATTTAATGAACTGAAGGTATCTGCAGTAATAATGATGTTTGAGGGAGTTAAATCTATGCCTCGCCACCGAGTAAGCGACATAGTCGAGCGCAGAGCCACTTTTCGAATATTTTTTGAATAGCGAGTTTTTTCTATTCTTGTGATATTTAATTGTCTTATTAAACCATGGGGGACACTTGCTTCGAGGTCGACAATGCTTGATCGGAACAGATGCAGCAATAGCCAGATTTAATGTATTGTAGAACCATGGCAATAAGCTTTCAATACTACCGGTTGAGAAATCAAGCGTCAGATGTGAAAGACGATGTTTTAGTAATACAATATTGATTTTATGAAAATCATAATAATTATTTAAATAAGTGTCACGAATTATTATTACAGTCTGCTGGGTCATCGACAAATGGAAGTGAGCTTCATATCACTGATACGTAGTTAATCGAATGTTGCAATAAAGTGGAAGTTATGATGAAAGAAGTAAACAATACAGACGCACCAGAAAGAGCTCGTGGTGACAATAACAATAAAACAATAGCAGAAGGCTTTTCTGCAACGCCTTTTAACAGTCCTACAACACCTCCTGAGAGTAAATTAAGAAATTTGGAGCGGTCCCCTTTATTTATATTACGGGAGAAACCGAAACGTTACTATAGCCGTAAATTTGAAGAAAAGGCGAAATCAAATTTGGTGGATAAAATCAAAGCCGCTGTTGATGACAATATACACATCGTAAATTTGAATTCCAAAAAGTCATATAAATCCATCTCAGAAAGTAAGTTACTCTTGATCGTTTTATTTTAACAACTCTAACTTTGTACATTCTTCTTAGGATAAGCTTCAGATCGTTGTTACGACGATATAGAGAAAGACGACACGTACAACGTAAATGAAAGTAAATTGTTTTTAAAATTTGTGAAGAGACAACATTTAAGTTAATCCAAAATTTTTCAGCTTTAGTGCCATCTAATCAGCGTAAAACTGAGATAAGTAAAAATTATCATTGGGATGGCCCCATAACGAAGTGTTTTTCGAAAAAATTTCGGAAAATTCTCAAAATCTATCACTAGTATACAAAGCACTATTAAATAACTGATAGTGGCGTGTAACAGAGTAAATACTTGCGGCCTGCGTCCAAATTCAAACTCTCTGTCCATTACATATTGATCACTTTTCTACCACCATAGTAATACACAGAATACAACAACCGCTAAGCAGCCAAAATATTCTACATAGAGAACCACTTGTGGTATATATACAATATAATTGCGTCAAGCTGAAATAGAAGTGAATTAATGACATTTGGATGTATTTTTCTTATCATTGGTTTCTTTTTGCTATTCAAATACTTTGTAGTTATAGCTTTTTTAGTGTTTATATATAATGTATATTATTACATTTTTTCTTTCAATAAAGGTATGAATACATTTTTGTTTACATTTATTTTCCATCATAAACTTAAATCTTTTTTTGAACGGTTTACTACTCATCAGAAAAATCGTCTAGACCATAAAATAGGGCAAAATCGAACGCCAGTCCTTAAAAAATTGTATAAAACTATTGAGGAGACGTACAAGGGGAGATGAGTGCATATTTTTTATACTTTTATATATAGAAAAGATTATATATTATATTTCAATATATATATAGAATTAACATGAGATTAATATGAGACTTTCATTTTTCCCAGATAATCCCAGTTTATATATTACTAAGATATTACTAAGATAAATATCCTCATATATACTACGAGCTTTTGGTTTTTCCATTCCTTTGCCGCTACGCGAATACTCTATATAATCTTCGGTTTGGGCCAACAGTAGCGATTAAGGTGGTGCTTGCAAATGTTCTTCAATGTTCTTCACCGCCATACTTTTCCACAATATGTTCCTTCGTCTGAAAAAAAATAAAATATATTATTGCACGGTTGTAATTGAGATCTCTAAATACTTTACGAATTTTTATATCTTTAAACAATTTGATGCAAGGTTATAAATTCAGCGGCTAAAACATTCTACATGTCGGGGGGGCAGATCAATGTCCCAATTGTATTCCGCGGACCCAACGGGGCTGCTATGGGCGTGGCAGCTCAACATTCTCAATATTTTGCGGCTTGGTATTCCCTTTTTTTTCATCAGCAGTTCCTAGAGGAATTGCGGTGTTCTTTAAGTCATCTTCTTATCGGTTTGCAGTTTGAAGGAGATGTCAATGGCAAAATTTGTCGAACCAAACCTTTGAGTTGCCGTTGAAGTTTTAAATGGGTTATCTATAGTCGCTCTATCAATTAAAAAGCCCTCCTTAAGGATTGTTTTTTGGGTTTGCGCATTGTACGCCATCCTTCGGGAGCAATTCAAAACGGTCACTACCTCCCATAAAATTGCCAGTTTTAATAGAAAAATTGCAAGATTCTAAACAGGATTTCAGATTTAATGTAAGTTTTTCATGAAGCGCATATCAACATCTAATATATTTTTTTTGTGCTTTTCTCAGATTAAAGTTATTTTGACGGAACATGCGAAACATTTCTTAAATTTTTTCTATAAATCAAGGATTTTCATTCTGCATGTACATTATGATGAATAAAGACAATATATTTTATTATATTTTATTATTTATAAACTTTTTACCGCTCATCCACACGTGGTTTCTTTTTGGGATTCTTTCGACGGACCAGGTCACATGTACCATGTAATTGTACGGTTCATCCCCAATGTCGCTACTTATCTCCGAATCGCTAGATTCTGTGCCCAGGCTGGTTTGCGAGGAGGTGATTTTTTAATACCGGTCAATGGTTTAAACGTATCTATGTACTACGTACCTATCTTAGCATCTATATGCACTATTAGCAGTTAATTATTAGCTACAATTATCAAATGAGAAAGATTTCATATTGCATAGAAAATAGTTCATGGTAGTTGGGTCGGACTGTAATGAAAGATAGAACCACTTGTGAATGTATAAAAAATAATCCATGGTAGTGTCGCCGAACTGAAATGAAAGAAAGAAAACATGAAAGAAGATGACAAGGAATTTTCTGATTTGATTGTGCCTGTGTTTATTCTTAAAACTTTTGTATGATTAGACATAGGATACGAACAGTTAAACCGTCGAAAATTACACATTAAAGCAAACTATAAAGAATTATAAGACACAGTGATAACATTATTTTATTTAAGGAAAATAATTGATTTGGAATCTAGCGGAAACTATTAACAGCACGTGTAAATTTGCGAAAATCAATGATAGCTACAAATAGCGATAAGAGTTTACGATATGTAATTAACACTGAGCAAATGGTTGAAAATAAGGAAGAAAAATTTGTGTTCGCCTTAAGAGGAATCTTTAATTATAGAAATTCGGTTCACCAATTTATGCTAATAAATAATTCAACGAAGCTTTTGAGATAGGTACCGCCTTGGTTTGTAGTTTTTTTTTTTACTTTTCTTCTAATACTCTTTGCTTTAATGCCGCAATGTGCAGCAGCATAACTTAATTCAATTATGTCCTTCTTGTTAGCACGTGAAATTGTTTTAACGGAAATGCACACGACCCATTTGTCATCATATGGTGATTTATTTTAATCATATGGCTTTGTTTTATTTTCATAAATACATCATTCCTTTACTTGTCAATGCAAACATATGTACAAAGTTTTTTGCATCGATGCGAAAATGCAATGCGAGGTATGCATTCACTATGCGTAAAACCGTGCAAATTGTAAAAATCGAATATAAAAGTTGAAGACGATAAAGGAATGGAGAGATGGGAAGCGATTATGCTAATATTGTATTAGGTCAACAGACCGATGATACATTGTTAGCTCTTAATGATGAATCCAAACAAACCGGGCATTCGACTTTAAGTGTTCCAATGCTGTTTCGTAAAAAGCGCTTGTTATTAAACCCAAAATAGAATTTTAGGCCACCCAATGAACTCTGTTAGACACCCGAATTAGGGGAGTTTCTTAAAAATGCTGTTGAAACAAGTACCCCAGTCAATAGGAAATTGTCCCTTCAGGAAATGGAAATGGAAAAAGATCCCGATACAGTATTAACGGAAAGCCTACCAAAGAAGTGGCGGCTATCGTACGTCTTAAGACGTACTCGTACTATTTCAAAGAATTAACAATGACAATGAAGAGAATTGATGAAACACGCAATCATATATATATATATTTATATACATATATATAAATAAAAATAAAAAAAAATTACAATATTTATATAACCTTTATCAATAAGTTCTTGAACAGATGCCGGTACTCCTAAGAAATGAGGATTTAAAAAAATAAAAAAAAAATTAAAATAAGCACAAATATTTTTATTTTCACATTTTGTTTCATCTCCGCACCACTGTCAATAGAAATATTTGGGATGGCAATGCTTTTCAATTCTGCTAGTTTTTTTTTAATAACTGTGTGTTTTCACATATGCAATGAAAGAAGATAACGGTTTCTGCGGAACAAAGAAAATTTTGTAGGCGCAAACGCGCATTACTTCTGTTCAATCGTTCATTTATATAGTGACCAGGATGGCATAGACATCTGCGAATAAACAAGTAAGAATACAAGTGAAATAATTCTTTTTTTTTAATATTTGAGATTATGATAAATGCTTGTGTATTAAATGAAAAGGGTTTATTAAACTCTTAGGAATGCAGTTCTAAACAACGCTAATAATTGGAAAAATAAAAAAACCAACAAGTTATAATTCATTTTTTTTT